TCACCCTTTCTTGCTGTCTTATTCAAAGCTATTCAGTCATTTGATATGTTTGGCATAGATCGTCCATGTTTTTGAGTCATATAGAAGAGTGGATAAAACACATGTCTCATAAATATGAATTTTCACTTTAGTTGACAGTTTGTTATTGTTCTAGGCTCTGTCTTGCAATAAACCAATGTTCCTGGGTGCTTTGAGAAAGGCTGAACTGGTTTGGGGAAAAATTGCCATGTCACAAAAGTAATTGTCCTATATATAAGAAAGTACTGAGCAAACAGTATATACAGGGACAGAATACAGTATGTCACCACTTCTTCAGTAAAGAAGGCAGAAAAACATGGATAATCCCTAACAGCATTTTGCTAGTTGTGAATTCTGCCAGTTTCAGGTCTGATTTTGACTTTAGAGCATTGTGAATAATGGCGTACAGTGTAACCTCATCAATCTGGCATGCTCAGGACCAAGCACCTGCTGGAAATTTGAAAATTCCAGATTTTTCAAACCAGAGCAGCAGCTGGTCATGGAGCAGGGGTTGATGGGGGTGGGAGATTAGCGGTGGCCGGTCCCAGAGCAGCAGCTGCATGTGGAGCGGGGTGGTGGATGGCACTGGCAGCCACCACATGCGAGCTTCTCCCTCCATGTCCATAAGGGGCGAGGAGGAGCAGCAGCCGGTCCCAGAGTAGCAGCCGCAAGTGAAGCGGTGGTATGGGGTGGTGGATAGCAATGGTGGCTGCTGGGTGCAAGCTTCCACTACCACATCTGGCAGTAGTATATTTGTAAAAAGTACCAGGTTTTTGAGCATTCTGGATTTTTGATATCTGGATTCATGAGGTTATACTGTATTTGATGGGAGGCTGAAAAATAATTGATTCAGATTAATTTGAGATTTTTTTTTTTTGTGGCGGGACTGGACATAAAATGAACTATTTGACTCCACTCTTTTCCATGACAGGATCCCAATTCCACTTCAGTAACTGATGTTTTGTGATATCATTCTTGCAATTTTCTATGGAGCATTTTAGTGTTTACACAAAAGAAAACACAATGTACTAGGATATAAGCATCAGGTACCTGTGGAGAGAAACAGAAGTGGATCATGAAGTGGATATAATTTTTAAAAATTCATGCTTGAAAACCCAGAATTGGGTTTTCAAATTGTTCCTCCAGCAAGGGACAATGACAATTTTACAGTAGAATTAAGAAAAGATTTTCCTTCCCTTTCTCCTTACCATGTGTTCAAATTGCACAACATCCCTGCAGCAGAAAAATATTCTCACCACACATAATGTTTTGCCATCTATTTGTCACTATTGTCCTCTGAGGAGTGGTGGCCATGGGAAACTCCAATGCATTCTATTTGCTATAGATAGTACTGTACCTCCTTGTCTAAAATTGCTACTATCAAGCTCTGCAAATTATAAAGCCATCAAATTTGCAGTGCTTACATTTGAAAGTACTGTGTATTTCTTTTTTCCCTGTTATTTGGTGACCTAGGCTGAAGAGGTGGATATCTGAAACTAAAGTGAAAAACACAGTTAACTAATATATTGTCTCTTTACTGTGCCTGGCCACTGACAGTACCTCTCCATTCTGGCCAGTTTACAGAGCTGGCTTTCCTCTGTACGGAGTTACCACTACTTTTGTGGCATATACAAATCTGTAACCATCTGTTTCAAAAGCCTGTTTTCCTCCATAATTATATGGGAATTAGATGGCTTCAATGTTGACAGTGTAAACAATCACTGTGCAGAAATTTAGAAAAAAATTAGATTACTAGGCAAATTAATTGAATAAAGGATAACCATATAATAGATATACACTATCCTTTCTTCATAGGCTCACTTCAGCAGTCCAGACACCCTATTCTTATTTCCAGGCTAAACATCAATACTGGGTACATCTACACGTGTGCTTTACTGCAGTTAACTAATTAGCTCCGCAGTAAAGCATCACAGTCTACAGGTGCACTGGTATTAGGGCTCAGTAAATGAATGCCGCCATAAGATACTACTACCTTATGGCGGAGTACTTAACTCCACTGAAACATGCATGTAGAAGGTGACAGGAGCTGGCTGGGGCACAAGGGTGCTAAAGGATGCAGGGCTGTCTGGTGCCTAGTCCTGCACTTTAGCACCCTCATGCCACTCTCTCCCACCTAACACTGCTTCCCAGAGCCCAGGGCTGACCTCCACCCTCCTGGGTCTCCTACTAGCCCAGAGCTGTTCTGCCCCAGCTCAAACTGCTGCAGTCGCAGGTGGACATTTAGATGCTGCACCTGGGAGCAGCCGGGTCCAGTGAGAACTGTGCCAGAATTGATCATGTCACCTTAATGGCACATGGAAAGGCACTCACTATCACCAAAGCACCAAATGAATAGGAGCAGGAACCTATCATATTTTGTTTCTTGGTTTCTTGGCGAACTGCAGTTGTTGAGACACTGGCAATTTCCTGTTGTTTATATCAGTGTTTCTCAACCCATGGGTCATGACCCGAAAGTGGGTCACAAGGATATATGAAATAAAAATGGATCCTCCTTTAAAGGAGAAAAACATGGGAAACCACAGGTTTCCACTTGCAGACTAGCAGAATTCCAGCCTACAAGAAGCTACTCAGGACTAGGGGGAGTGGAAGGAGGGTGATCAGGCAGAGGGCATCACGTGCATGTACACGTGTATGAGTGTATGCACACATGCATGTAACAACCAGGCAGTGTGGAGAGTAGCTCCCACAGGTAAGTCTACAGGGCAGAGTTGGGGGGGGGAGGGGATAGATGATGCATCAGGGGGGCAGAGGGGCACAAGACACATGTCATAGGGATGTGGGGGCATGTGCCTCACCAGCTTTGTGTGCCCACAGTGGGCAAGGGGCTGCAGCCTGACTGGGCCAGCATGGGCAGGATTCACCTCTGCAGCCCAGTGGCAGGACCCGGCATGGGAGGTCAGAGTGGGGTGGTGAGACACGTTGTTCCCAGTGCCACCACTGGGACCCCCACACCAGTTGTGCCACCAGCAGTGCAAGAAGTAATGAACGGTGGGGGGACGACCACACTGCCCTCACCTCCTCCCCACACCAGCCACTCACTCACCAGGCCGCGGCTCTGCTCTGCCATCATAGCCCAGCTGCCGCCACCGACACCACTTCCCTCAGGCTGCCCTTGAGGGGATGTGGGGTGGCGGGCAGTGCATGCAGCCTGAGGGCAGTGATGATGATGGCAGTGGTAGCCAGGCCATGGCACAAAATAGTGCCATGCCTGGTGCACAAGCTGCTGGCAGTGGGAGGAGCTGAGGGCAGCATGGTCCCCTGTCCTGTCTGTTATTTCGTGTGCTGCTGGCAGCGCAGGTAGCATGGCAGTCCCAGTGGCAGCAGTGGGAGTAATGAGTCTGCCCACCCCACTCCACCCTCCCACAGCAGATCCTGCCCACTGGGCTGCAGAGGCAGCTCCTATCCATGCCTGTCCAGACAGGCTGCAGCCCCATGCCTGCTGTGGGTGCACAAATCTGTTGGGGCACATGCTACCCATGCCTTACACCCCTTGCCCCACATACCCACCTTCTGCCCCACACACTGGGCAGGTTGTGGCTTGGAGGCAGGGGGCAATGGGTCAGGAGTGAGGAGCACTAGGAGGGCTGGGGGGTTGTGGGTTGGAAGTGAGGGGCACTGGCAGGGTCAGGGGGCTGTTTTATATTTAAACTATTTCCTAGGTTGGGACTGGCCATCAATGTTTACAAATGGGTCCTGGTACAAAAAAAGTTGAGAACCACTGGTTTATAGGACCCATGCTGCTGAACTCTGCTACATTTATATTGTGTTGCTCAGCTGGGATATCGATGCTTCAGAGAGAAGAGAATCTCAAACAGCACTTTAAACTTGTATGGAGAAAAGCGTTCTCAAGGGATGGAAAGGACATATAATATGACACCTCTTCTATATCACAAAGGCATTAGTTTCAAGTTGCTTAGTCACCACTGGGCAAAAGGCCACACTTTTGTAGTTGGTGTGGCAATTTTTCCAAGTATGAAACCAGAAAATTCAAGTCAGCTGAAGCACTAAAGCCTTCTCCACATGCCCACTGATTGGCACACTCTTCTACAGTTCACTTTTAAATTATAGTACAGTACAAGAAAAAAGAGAGAGAAAAACTGCTTAGTAAAGAGCCAAGTCTAGTCTGTACATAATGAGAATGACTTGCTTTTGGAAAACACTTCAAAACAAATATTGGACAAATCAACGAGCTCTGAATAACAGCAGCATGCATTCTAATGTCTTGATGAGTAAACTGTAGAACATAATTTCCTGTCCAAATATTATCAGTACCAGCCCTTTCATGAACTTTTGTGCAACATCAATAGGAACAAGCAATTGATTGATGCTGGAAAATCACAGTTCTGAGATGAACTTGTGATTTTTTTTTTAAATATGGCACTATCATCCTTCTTTGAGCAGAAGGAGAGGGAGAGAGACTGAAAGAAAGAAATTAGAACATACTCATTAGCTAAAAGGATTAGGACTCCAAAAGTTCAGAACAGTTTGAACAATACATTTTTTAGAATATTTGAATTCATAAGCCTTGTCAGCTAAAAGGATAGGTCAAAAATCCTAACAAGCCAATGGAAAAAAACAGAACAAAAGAGAGTTTCCATAAATACTCAGAGAAAAATTCCACTAAAAGTTTCTCCAGATTAGCAAGGATGATAACTGTAGGGAACAATCAGGAGTATAACTGGTTGAGTATTTTCTAATGGAAAACTATTCTGACACAAACTTCTGGTTTGATGAAATCAAAATACTTCGCAGGAATGTAACATTTCAGCAATGCTTTCTATGAAAAATTACCAAAGTCATTTGTTTTGATAAGGTCAAAGCACTTCATTTTGATTTTATCAACTTGATGTATATGCTTATATAACTAAACTTCTTGCATGGAATTAAAAATAATGATAATTAGCAGGCAATTATATTATTACTACCCTGCTAACTCTTGTCTCATTATTTCTCCCATTCAGAATGACAGCTCTATTGTTCTTGCTTGAAGAGCACATCACACGTGTTTCTGTCCCTGAATGTGATGCCAACACATATGATCAAATTAAATCAGCCTGGCTCAAGTACATTTTAGGTAAAAATAGTCAGTGCTCAAATGTGCTTGTTATGTTTATTTGCTGTATTTCTTGCTAACTGCATACTTAATCTTTTGTTCATACCATATCATACCATTTAATTTGGTTTGTAACAATTCTTGGGCAGTCAACAAGTAGACCAAATGAATACATTTAAGCTCTGTAAAAACAATGCAACACAGGATATGCAAATTAACTGTTTATGTTCATACTTGGGGTATTTGCATGCAAAACTGAGGTGAGTGCAATTGCATATTTCCCTAAATTGAAAATCCAGACACATATGATTCTTATCACACACCATACCTTTGCCCAGCTCCCCTGCCAGCTAAAGATCTAAAAAGCTGTCATGCCTATCACTTTATCTCACAGGTGGGAAACTTGGATACTTTACATCCATCAGCTGGAGAAGTTCTATCAGAGGTGTTTTCAGGCCATACTCCAAATGAGGTGGTAGAACGGTCTGATTAATGACAAAGTCCTGCGGCATGCAGGCTGCATATCCATCATGCAGGCTGCATAGCCATCAAATTATTCACAATAAAGGGCCTACTACAATTATTAACAATAAAGGGCCTGGGTAGGACATGTGGCTTAGATGGATAAGTGATAGGTAATATGTATGTAGGATTCACAGATTCAAAGAATCAGACAGGGCCACGATGTGAATGCTCCTGCTGTGGTCCCTGCTTGGATGGATGATATATAAATGCCCAAGCAGTCCCAATATGGTGAAACAGAGATGTGTATTGTCCAAGGAAGCTCTTCAAGGACATCCTAAAGAGACATTTGATCAAGTGCAAGCTACTAGTTAATTCTTTTTGAGTTGCCAGCTGTAAATAGGAAGCAATGGAATGCCCAAGGTAAGATAATCTTTTGAACAGCCCGAGCAAGCCCTTGGGCAGGAAAACTGGGCAAAGTCAAGAAGGTGTTGGCCACAGCAATGGTAGCAGACCAACTTCCACACTGAGTAGCTTGATGAATTCTGTGACAAGAGATGCCGTGGGCTGGACCTGCAGACCCAGTTTTGACTCCTCCATTCCCTATGCAGAACTTTTGCTGTTGACTATGCAGGACTCCCAAGACAACAAAAATGACAAAACTACTAATAAGAAAACTACAAAAAAGAACAGAAAGAACAGAAATATCATAAATGGTCTGATCCCAAACTATTTCTTAGTAACATCAAAATCAATTCCAAAAATGAGAAGCATCTTCTCATCAGAAATACACCCTGGAAAGTCAATATAGCATGACATATACAAAGTAGTAAAGTCTTGTTTGACAGGCTGCAGTAATTGAAAAGCATATATATGTCAAAATATTCTGTAGTGTACCCCAAATCAAGCTAAATTGATTTAAGAAAGGGTTAATCCATTATAAATGGATTTATGATTGTGATTTGCATCCATTTAAATAGATTGATTTAAAATCAGTTTAGTTAAACCAATACAGTATTTAGACTATGCATTATTACATTTCCAAAACCCTTCAGTGGTACTATTCTTCAGGCTTTCTTTAAGAGCACTGTAGAAGAGCACCTGGAGTCAGGTGTAGTCAACACATCTTGCATGAATACTGCCAAAGAGTGTAAATAGTCTTTCTACATAGCTTTACTGAGCAGGTTATCTCAGTTCTATGTAAAAATAGTTTATAGAGTCTTGTGCTGGAGGCTGCTGTTACTAAGGGCATAGCATAATGCCGTCTTGGCAACAGATGTCTAAATCCATTTAGAAATCTATGTATGTACTATGCCCACACCAGAATTAAACCCTAAATGTTGTTACCAAATCCTTCTTAGCTCTAAACTCAGTGAAAACAATGGAATTACACCAGGATTGAATTTAGCTTTTCAAGTTAATTATAATCAAACAGTTGCTATTCATACTTTATTGGAGTTCCTGGAAAAGAAGATTTAAAAAAGAAGGTTAAGACAAAGTTTATAACACTTAATTATGTACCTAATCTGTCTGGGAAAATTCTTATCTCACTTTGCACATTCCTTGGGCTATCTCTAATATTACTGAACTTCATTGCAGAGTAAACAACGTGTAAGCATAAAATAATTACACATACACACAAATGATACAAAATTCTATACATTACATACACACGCATTTACATGAATATATAGATACATAAATTATAGATATCTATAGATATATACACATACAATTGTATTTATTGCACAAGAATAAGGTTACAAGTTTAATTAATAAAAAAGTTGCTGTGATTATGGGCAAAACTCCACCCTGGAAATTCCACTGCCAAATATGATGGACCCCAAGTGACCTGCTCCACTAAACGTATCTTCAATGATCATAAGTAACCAGGAGTTCTGTAAAGAAGTTTTATACCAGAAACAAACCATATCTTCAGCAGAAGTAAATTGTCATAGCTCTAGTGAAGCCAACAGAACGATGACAATTTATATCAGCTGATCAAGTACCCCAAAGGGCACAGGAATAAGCTATGTGAGATAAAGCAGGTTAAGGTGCTAGAGCATGTCAGCTGCTCTGTATTAACTTTTTACATGTACACTCTTACCCTGTAGTAAATGAAAACTAGCCCACAGTAGCTTACATCTCTTCCATTTCATTGTAAGACACCTATGGAGTTTAGTTTTAGGATTAGATTTAGGATAGACCAATCAGAGTAGATAAATATACCACAAAAGCTTTTGTTTTATATAGTGTTTCATAGATTTCATAGACATTTGGGCTGGAAGGGACCCCGGAGGATCATCAAGTCCAGCCCCCTGCCCCAAGGGCAGGAAGTCAGCAGGGATCATAGGATCCCGGCAAGATAAGCATCCAAATGTTTCTTGAAGGCGTTCAAAGTGTGTGCTTGAACCACCTCTGGCGGCAGTCTATTCCAAACCTTGGGGGCTCAGACAGTGAAGAAGTTCTTTCTTATGTCCAGCCTGAATCGGTCGCAGTGGAGTTTGTGACTGTTCGATCTTGTCATCCCTTGGGGCGCTCTGGTGAACAGACATTCCCCCAGGTCCTGATGAGCACCCTGATAAACTTATAGGTGGCCACCAGATCAGCCCTGAGCCTGCGCTTTGCCAGGCTGAAGAGCCCCATGGCTCTCAGCCTCTCTTCATAAGGCCTGTTTTCCTGATCTCTGAACATGCGCGTGGCTCTCCTCTGCACTCTCTCAAGCTTCTCCACATCCTTTTTGAATTGTGGAGCCCAAAGCTGGATGCAGTACTCCAGCTGCGGCCTCACCAAGACGGAGTACAATGGGAGAATGACGTCCTGGGATTTGCTTGAGAAGCATCTACAGATGTAAGCCAGCGTTTTGCTCGCTTTACTAGCCGCAGCATCACGCTGAAGGCTCATGTTCATACTGAAGGCTCATGTTCATGAGTTTGTGGGCTGAAAGTGCTAAATGCCTGTTGGGAAAGTACTGTTGGGATCCAAGTCCCTTTTTTTTTAATCTCACCCACACGATGACCTCTTTGCATCTGATGATACTTGCCTGAGATCAAACAGACATGGAACACAAAGTAGTATCCAAGAGGCATTTACAGATCACTCATCAGTAATCACAAGACAAGCACCCATGTATTCTGCCTGTATGTGGCCATGCAAAATAGCATATTTATCAAAATCGAAGACAACCCTAAGTTTAAGAATTATGTTTGTTATAATTTTCCATGTATAGAATCTAATTATTAGAGGACCATCTTAAATTCATCCCCACTCCCACTGCAGCAGAGAAAGCAGTGGTGGGGGGAAGATGGTGGGAATAAGGCAGTGGGGGAAGTAGTAAGGGGGCAGGTAATAGAGGAAGCAGTGGGGGACAGGCAGAAGGGGAACAGGTGGTGGGGAGGCAGTGGAGACAGGCAGTGCTACAGGAAGTGGGGAACAGGCACCTTGCTCCCTGTCACCTTTCCCCTTCCACATATCCCCCCCCTTGCTCCTACCTCCCCTCACAGACTCTGCCGCCTGCCAGTCTCAGGCTCCCACCCGCTGTCTTCCCCTGTCCCTTCTTCGTATCCTCCCCACAGTTGGGGCCAAGACCAAGGCCACAGCCAGGGCCATGGTCCATAGCCCAGGCAGAAGCCCAGGTGGAGCCTGCGGGTGCCAGAGCAAAGGTAAACAGCAGGTGGTGTGGAAGGGGGTAGGGGGAGCAGGGGCTCAAGGCTGCATGGAGGCAGAAGTGGCACTTCAGGGGAAAGGGAGATCTGGGGCCCAAGTCTGCTGAAAGGAGAGGCAGGGGTGCAGTGGCAGCAGAGTGGGGGACAAGCAGCAGCTGCATCTCCAGTCCCAACCTGGGGCCAGGGCCAGGGCTGCAACAGCCACCTGTCCCATGTTAAATGGGGAAATAAACCTTATCTTAAAATTGAGTAAATACATACATAATCCCATTTTTGCAGTGCCTAAAATAGCCAGCCAGAGGGTTTAGAGTAGTGCAAGTGATAGACAGGAAACTACATAGCACAATATGTCCACAGATCAGGGCAAGACTTTATGAAGGGGCACTTGCTCTGAAGGAAAAGCCTTTTCGTCCTGTGTACCTTCACAGATGAGCCAGAAATGCTGCATGTATTAGATGCTCCACCAAAAGAGGCAGGTCTGTGTTTCAGTATTGAGCAGAGTACAGAGCAGAAATTTCCTTCAGCAAAATTCCCCAACACTCATTTTTAATTAAACCAGTTCACTGTTTCTCAGTCCTGACTGCATTGAACCCTGACTCACGGGATGGCACTGTCACATATTTAAAAGTTACTGCATAGCAGGTAGCAGACAGGGTTTGTGGAGGTGGTTTCTTTGCAGTGTCAGCCTAAATTTAAAGTGAATGAAAGTCTCACGACAGATGGGGGATTTCTGTGCCATACTGGGTTTTTCTCTGTATGTTTCCACACTCCATAGTTTCAGCTTAAGGCCCTGTGCATTTCAAGAGACATTGTCTATCACTTAAAGCTCCATATTGCTTTCTTTTGCAGAAAGTACTTTTTTTTTGTAATTTCTTTATGTGCCTTTGCATATTATATATTAATTAGAGACTGGGAGCAGTTTCCTGGAGGGTTTCTGATGGCTCTGAAAAGGTGCAAATAACTAATGTCCAGAACAAAATGATCCAAGCTTCTGACTTCCCCTGCAGTTTTCACTTTGCCTGGTTCTTTTTTAGTCAATTATGATCATATATTTGGAGTTCATCCATTTACTGTGAATTCCTTGATTTTTTTTTTCTTTTTAAAGTCAAAGGCCTCTGCAGGCCTCTGAGTTTAGTTAGATAAAATGTGCTTTGAATCTGATAGGAGACAAGCATGCAGGAGGTCCTATTTAACACTCTCATAGAACTTCACTTACCTTACATTGTCTTGTATGCCAAGGGTATTAACCATTATTCATACTTGATATTCCCTCCAAAAGACAGCATGCCCTGGGGATTGCTTGGATGTTTTGATCTGTTAAATCGTTCTGAATGCCAGAAAGCTACAGTCTGAATCTGAAGGGAAAAAAATCCTTTTGTAACCACAGGTCAGGAACAGGAAATATAATACATTCTTGCTCTCATTCACACAGTGCGCAGAGTGCCAGTGCCTAGAGGTACCTGGGTGATGTCCTGCTCACAGCACCCTTAGCACTGTGCAGTAGCCATTCCCTCTGAAAGGGAGGAGGAGGTAGGCATAGACATGGGAGGAAGCAGTCCCAGAGCAGCGTGGCCCCAGAGCTCTACTATTTGTGGAATAAAGAAAGGGGAGAGGGGCCATTGGCTCACTTTACAGAGGTGCCAATACCTTTTGGTGCTTGGAACAGGTTTCACTTCAGATTCATGACTGCCATCCTTTATGTGGTCCTATGTGCCTGATTTGCATCAGAATGATAACTCTTAGGGTGCCTATACACATGCTTTGGGGTGGTTGCTGGGGGGAGAGGGGGGAGTTTTAATAAGAGTGGCTTCCAGGAGCCACTCTAATTAAAATGTCACAGTGTCTCATGTGGGGGGGGGCACTTTAATTAAAGCTTGTTTGATAATCTTTAGTTAAAGTGCCACTGCTGCCATTTTGAAATGCGGGACTTTGAGTACACCAAATGCTGCAGCTCGTCGGAGTGCTCGAAGTAGAATGCTCCAGCAGACTCCAATTTATTGAGTCTGCTCCAACACATCTAATCAGAACATGTTGGAGCATGTGTATAGTGCCTTTCGTGCTATCTACACACCTTTCTTTTTCTGCAATGGGGTCTTTTATAGACAGGGGCAGGGTATCATTTAGCGTTATGTTTTGTAGTTTATTTCTCTTAATTAACTTATATCTTGAAAGGGCTGGGAGACTCTGGTGTATGAAACATAGCAGCTGTTTGTGAAAGGCATCAAAATACAAAGGCTACATCTGCTAGATGGGGATTAGATATTTTTAACCATATTTCATCGCTCACAATAGGACTGAACAAATAATGTCAACTCAAGTGGATCTTCCAAGAGGGTTTAAGTGACCACTTAGTTCCTGTTGCTGCACACAGTGCTTTGCAAGGTAGTAAAATGCATTGAAAACTGAACTAAAGACAAAAGACGATGAAGAATGTATTTCATTTTCCTCAGTAATGCCACAGGGAAAGGTTTTAAGCATCAGTAATGGTGCACAAAAGTAGTAGTAAAAGTGCCCATAGTTTGATTGAATAAGAAGAACATTTATTAATAAGGGATACTGGGCTGGATTTCTGTCAGGTCTTCCCAGAAAGCATCATTTTGCTATGTTCCTTCTTCCATTTGGATGATTTCTCCTATACATGGAATTCTTTGCACCAGTAGTCACATACTTCTTTCCTATCGTATTCCATCTGGATACTTCGGCCACACTGCAAACCCTCACTCCCATTTGTGGTCCAAAGGCCTGTCTTCTTATGTCATTTCCCCATCAAAAGGAGTGAGGGATACTCACACAGTATAGTACAGTATTTAGCTTTTCCAGTAAACTTATTGAAATCAGTGGGGGATCTCCCATTCTTGGATTATTGAATACACAGTCTAACTCCTGGACTTATGCACAGGAACCCATGAATATGTTCTGTCACTTCACCTGATTCTGGGTCCATGGTTGTACAGTACTAAGCCCAATGGATAGGACTCCAATTAGGTTTCCTGATTAATAATTTTAATATTAATAATTAAGGATCACTCTACTACTGCTAAGTGACTCATAACCAGTCATTAGGGCAATTCACTTAACCAACCCAAACAATTTCTACCCTGAAACCACACAGCTGACTGCATTTAAAAATGTAAAACAGTCATTTTGAGAAGGGTTTATAAAGTCATTTTTATATCTTTAAACTTAATTTAGCAGCAGGGTAAAGTATAATGCTTCCCTTTGGGGCCCAAAGTGCAAACATAAAGAAATTAGATGAGCCATTGAGAAAAAGGATCTGTGTGGTAAGCCAGTGCTATGCTTCCACCCATGAACCTAACTGAAATTAGCCAATTCACCTAACAGAGATGCATAAGAGCAATGACCTGTTACTAACACAGGCACTAATAGATTTTCTGACTACTCAGAAATAGGTTTTCTGATTATTCAGTTCCAGAAGGAGAAGATGAAAGTGAAAGAGATGACCAAATACAGTTCCTACTTTTTTTTCCAGGTTTGGTTTTCCAGGACTGGAAAACAAGAAGTTGGAACATTTAACCAAAGTTTGTATCACAGACACCAAGGGCTACATTGTAACTTTACAATCTGCCCTGAGGAAGGCATAATTCTGCCTCAGTACTCACTGGCTTAGGAGGAAAGAAGCATCCAGGTAGCTATACTTGAAGGGCAGAACCAAAACTCCTCTCAGTCTCCCATTTGCTCACTGGAAGGAGAATCAGAAGAGTAGCCACTGTTTTCCCCAGTGCACTAGAGATGCAGTCCAGTCTGGGCAAGCAGGGAAATCTGTGCCACTGAGGAAAGGCTATGACCATCTAGCCTTCAAATGTCATAGTCCCTTTTCTTGGCTACCATTGCACTTAGATTATATTGTACTTATCAATTTATAGACTCTGATTCTAAACCTTCAATGTGAAAACACCTGATCATTGGTGTTTTAGGATCTGAATGGGGTCCTCAATTCAAAGCTAGCCCATACCTCTATATTGGATTAAACCAAAATCCTATCTCCAAATTCCACTGAACTTCAGAATATTTGAAATCAGAATCAGATTTAAAATGTGCAACTCAAGTCCATTTCTCATTTGAAACTTCTTGTTCTCTATACCAAGGGCGACATACGTCATTAGTTTATTATTTCTTTTTCCATACTATTCTCAGTTAAATTCAGAATACATTATATCTTTGGAAAATTATTCCAAAGAGATCATTATGCATTTAGTTTGATGTTTACCTCTCATGTTCTTCATGCAATGGTAACTAGTGATGATTGCAGGAGCCAATAATGACTTTTCTCTATGTCCAAATTTTCAGAGGATAGGCACTATGGCTTTTGGCTAAGGGAATATTTATAACATATTCAGCTTTTCTTTTGCTTTAATGTTAAAATTAAGAGTATCAAGGGATAGTGCCTGGGCTATTTGCAATCCATTCAAAAATGCATATTAGAGGAAAATATATAATTCATTAAATGTATTGCTTAAGGTGAGAAACTTTAAATTGAGTTTTGTAAGTTTTGAGTTTGGGGGTTATACTTGGCATAGGCCACTAAGAATGTTGAATTATTCATACCAAAAGACTGCCAGTGGGAATACCAAGAAAACAGAAATGGAGCTTGGAATGTGGTTTCATTTTATTAAAAAAAAATTAAAAATTAAATAGCTGTGTTATACTTCAAAATACTTTATTCCCTCTTCATCAAAACAGCTGCTGATTTATAGCTGTTACTTTTGTTACTCTAATTCTGCTATACATTTTTTAGACAATGTATATTCCCCCTTACTGACATTAAGCCAGAATGACAGAGGGAACTGTACTACCTACTCTACTGACAAATATGAAATATAATACTACACAACTTTATAGCCCTATTGTTTTGATTTCCAAATAGTCAGGAGATATGCACTGTGATATGTTTATAAAGGAAAATGAGTTTTACTCTTACCTATCATGATGTTGCTATTCCGTAAAATCAGTTTGTTAAGTTAGTAAAGTCCTCTTTCAAAGATGGAAGGTGCTATGCAAATATTAATAATTGTTAATAATGTAGCTGTGCATGGACAGATGTAAATGTAGCCAGGAAAGAATCTATAATACTGCAATTAAAGCTTAGTCCAACTCTGTTATGAAAAGATCAGGTTACCTGGTGTCCAAAAGGAAACCTCTTACTTGTATAAAGTAGAGATTTTTCTTGGCAGCAAAATATCTTCTTCAGCTGCTATAAAGAAAAAGCTGGAGCAAGAACTGAAATGAAACCGAGTACTTGCTTGGACTCTGTTTTTTCATCATCAAATACGGGTAACTCCCATTGATTGCAATGGGCTTTTCTCATCTCCTGTAGAAAGAGGATAGGTAGGTTGTAGAAATAGGAAAGATCAAAACACAGAATTAAAAACAGGTTCCAGGGTTTCTTATTGAGTCACGTTTTCCAAGAGCTGTTCTCCCTTTTACTTTTCTTTTTCCGTCTCATTTAATTAGAAACAACACAGTGCTGAACATGTGAAATTAAATGCCTCAAACCCCTCACCCAGCAACCCGCCACCTGCAGCTCTACTAACTATATGCACATGGCCTGTGGCTTTCCCCCTACATGAAGAGAAGAAGGAGCAGAAGTCAATTCATCTGATGGAGTGTCCTGTTTCATCTCATCTTCAGAAATGCAGTTGCTCAGCAAAATTACAACTCAGAAAAACAAGAAAAGAAACCAGGAAAGCAAACATAACATAACATTATATAACAGATTGAAAGAACAGTAACAGAAGTATCAGGGCTTTACCCTCCCCCCGCCCCCCCAAACGAGCACTGTTACTCAAATTTGCTGGCTTTCACTGTGGAAAACCCTAGGTCTCCATTCCCAAAGTAGTTTTGGCAATGCGTGGGGTAGGAGCTGGTGACCCTCTGCTATGGCAATGCATGCTAGACAACATGTGAATTCTTAGACAGGACAGAGTCATTCAAAGTATCCATTGGAACAAGTCAAACCCTGAAGTGCAGAAGTTTAAATACCACATTTTGTGCCTTTGGGAGAACCCTGCAGCAGAGAGTAGGGAATGGCTCCTACAGCAGGGTGGCACAGTGGAGGATGCCCTTCTAGCATCTTAAGTCAGCACAGGGGCTGGTCCATGCTTTCTTCCCTTCCCTTCCCTGCCCCTCCCCCACTCCCCACAATTACACCATTGCCAAAGTGTTGCAATCAGACTTTATATACCATAGGCATTATGTACCTGCTCCACAGACTTGAGTTAAAAGTTATGAGAAAAGAATAACCTTCAACTCTCAGGACAATATTTGAAAGGCATGTGTTGCGTAGCTGTAAGGACAATACAGCACCGGAAACAGGATGACCAATGCAAGTAGACCATTTGAATTTTGCATAGATTCAATTACATAGGTGCAAGTAGCAGTGGTGTGATACAATAGCACCAACAAAGCTCTCCAGGCCCATTTCATCTTTTATGTAACCAACAGCTTCAATGAGTTTACAGGATAGATGACTTGGACCCTTCATGGTTACTGGAAAAACACATCACTTCAGAACCTTGTCTGCCTCACTTCTCTTTACTCATTTGACACCCTTCTTTACTTTGGATCACGCTGCATCTGTTGAAAGATAGTTGGGTATCACATTCACAGGGTCTGCATTAAATAGTCCTAACTGTTACTGCAAGGCAAGCAGTTAATCACTGGAAAGCCACTTCCTTGAGGAACTAATTGAGTCACATTGTGAGAGAGATTTTGCCATCTACTTCATATGCTTTTCCCCCAAATCACTGATTTTGACATTTGCTTTAATATTTCATAAAGTCTTTCGCAACTGACTGACACCGAGCATGGGATCATGAATCTTTTAACAAGAAATCTCTGAATCTGTCTTTCATCATGTGATGGTGAAAAAGGAACGGTATTTATTCTTGCTTTGATTATTTTTTTCCAACAAAAGGAGCAGTGGTCACAGTTACAAAACTATCTTTTGTTAGAAAAAAGGGGTTGAGGAAAATTCCTGGATTGGTCCCAGGAGAAAAAAAATTACTTTCTTCATAGCAACAGTCCACATTAGCTGATGAAAATAAAGGCAAAAGTACTGTGTAACAATCCCCAGGCCCTGGAAGAGATAGATGCCCCTGTTTTAGGGCAGACTGCCCCTGCACTCTTCTGCCACGCCTTGATGTAAAATGAATATGTATAATGTGGCAGGCCGCCCCCTTTGTGGCTCTGGTGTATTAAGCCTATCACATAGCTCTGAGCCATCCCTACACCATGTCCCATGCCTCACAGATAGCAGCCAATTCTACATACTACTCTTCCAGACTCTTTCTGAGCCCCACACATCATTTGGCCCACTCAGGCCTTAACGCCCCACTTGGTGGGCCTTGACCCTTCACTGGACTACTCCTTGGCCCCTCCTCAGGCCATACTCTGCCCCCTCCCTGGGCCACACACACTCACTTCACCCCCTCCCCAGGCCACACTTCATGTTCTGTAGGCCTCTAGTCCCTCCCAGTGGACCTTGACCCCAAGCCTTTCCCCTCTACAGGGTGACCCACAAGGCAGTGGGGGCTGATGCTTTCTGCCCCCTGCCCCCCAATCTTTCATTGAGAAAGTGCAGGTGTGGCATTTCCTGGGGGCTGTTCCACCACCAGCAGCCCCACCACACCAACCAACCCCAGCAGGGTGCAGTTTCAGGTCTTACCCAGGACCAAAAGGAACCTCCTTCATCCCCATAATTCCTATCTTCAACCTCCAGGTGTTCCAAAATCTGCAGTTTTCAGGCTGCATAATTACTCCTCCAGTTCCCCACGTGTAACTGGGAAGTCTGGGTTTATACTCTGTCTGCATAGCCCTCCTCCAATCAGGTGGCCTTCCTTCAGTAAAGCCAATTAGGTGACTACCTTATTGGGCCTGAACCCACCTGCCAACTACTCCACAGCCTGCCTGATGGTCTTAAGGTGGCAGGTACAACCAGTGTGCTGCCACACACTGCAACAATGTTGCAAATAAATAGGTTTGATTTATATATGCAGTTCCTCTAGGGAGAAAAAAACCCTTTTAATAAAAATAAAGATTGGAGGTAGTGTTTCTCATATTGAAAGCCTTTTACAAACATTGACTGATAAACTAATACCCATGGGAAAGCACCCAAAGTTCCTTTTATTTGCAAAATGAGGCCAATGGTTTGATTTTAGTCATATCAGAGTATGTAGAAGGTAGGTAACCTCAAAGGAAGCAGTGACTTTGAGTGGTTAACATACAGATTGCAGGAAACTGCATGACCCGGGATTGGAGAAGTGTCGCAGAAAACTGAGGTGCCCTGCTCCTAGAGAGAGGAAACTACCAGGGAGAGAGCCCTGGCAGGGAATAAGGAGCACAGCTGTGGGTTGCCTGGGGCAACCGGGAAGTCAGCTGACCGGAAGGGGCAGGGCCTGGCCCTCATAAAGCCCAGGGCTGATGCCAGGCTAGCAGTTACCTGCCAGCAGCCAGACAGAGAGGAGCTCCTGAAGCTAAGATGTGAGAACCGCTGGTACTACTCAAGCCGAGTAAAGGATGGCGGCTCCGGGACATCGGAGCAATGTTGTTATAGCCAGGCGGCCTCATAGGGGACCCACAGTAGCGTGGGGACCCCAGCACCAGTAGGGGCACAGCTTACAGGGTGCTTAGACCCCAGCCGAGAGAGGGGCATTTGAGAAGCCCCAGTGCAGGCGTGGCAAGCCCCAGGAGGGGCACTACTGAGAAGCCCTAGTGCGGGCGTGGTGAGCACCAGAGAGGGGACATGATTGAGAAGGCCCAGTGGGGCCACGGAGGCCCCAGAGAGAGGGCAACTGTACAGAGAAGGCCCCAGAGAGAGGGCAACTATACAGAGAAGGCCCCGGAGAAGGGGGCAGCACTGCGGGAGGCCCCGGAGAAGGGGGCAGCACTGCGGAGGAGGCCCAGGCTGGGCACAGAGCCCCAGGAGGGGGCGGTGATACCGAGAAGGCCCGAGTAAAGGGCGGCAGTACTGAGGAGGCCCGAGAAACGGGCGTGAGTACAGATAGAGAGACAGACCAACATCCATTCCAACTGCGAGGCTTGGGGCATGGTATAAGGGGTGATTGGAGCCACGCATAGCCCATAAGGCTAGGGTGCCCAGGAAGCACCCATGGTAGAGCAGAACCCATAAGGGGTCCGGGAATTCACAGGGCCAGAAATAACCGTGTGCAAGGAGACATAAGGCAGCCTCCCAACTGATTTAAACATCAAAGACGTGGCGGGCGAGAAACCGAGGGGACCCTTGGGCCGACTTGGCATGGAAGAGGGGGCCTTAAGGAGATCATGGCCCTCCTGTAGGACCCCGCCGTGACAAGAAGCATACTGGAGCAGAATAGAAAACCTGATATGTATTCTTGAAAAAAAAATGTTATCAACTATTTACTGAATACAAAACACTATAAAGGTGGAGGAAAGTGGTAGAAACAAACAAGGAACAGGATATCTTACTGTTTAAGGGTAAAATTTGGGCTAAGTTATAAGCTATTATTTTGTTCTGAAACCCATTGAAATCAATAGAGTCTTTCCATCAGCATCAGTGAACTTTGGATCAGTCCCTATAACTATGGGCATATCTATACAAGACATTTACTATGGAGCTGACTAATTAGTTCCACAGTAAACATCTCAGCATCTACAGGACTTCCCCATTAGGGCATGAGAAAATAATAAACTCTGCAGCAGGGTATTTATAAGTAGTACCTTGCTGCGGAGTTTTTTCATGTGCAGCAGCACACTGGCAGCCATTGACCCAGCTGGCTGGGGCATGAGAGTCCTTCAGTGTGGGGGCTGCCTGCTAGCTGACTCCCAGGGCCCTTTACTAGCTGGGGCTGCTCTGACTGGGCTCTACATGCTGAGTATAAATAAAGTTAATTACCACCAGGCACATTCAAATAGCGTGGCCAGGAGCAAAATGCTCCAGAGCAACAAGCCACATACTTTTTCCATGTGCGCTAATTATACATGTAGATACACCCTTAGGGCCCACAGAGATTAAATATGTAGCACTATCATAACTTTTAGTTTAAAATCATTACATTTCTATTGATTTGAGTCTTATTTTTAAGTATATATCCTATTTATATGTGAATAGCATATGTGTGGAATGTATCCAGCAATCAATATTTAGAGTCAGTGCCCTCCAACTACTTTGTAGAGCTCTTTCAATACAAACCAGCTGTAAAGTGACGTATCCAGCCACTTTAAACAAGCTTTGCACAAAATTTACATGGCAGTCAAGATTTATCAGGATCAGGTAGACAAGGATCTTTGGATAAATCTGATATCTTTTATTAGACCAACTAAAAGAGTTGGAAAATTATTTTCAAGCTTTCAGGTATAAATACCCTTTGTCAGGCTGAGGAAGCATCTGCAGTTGGTGTGTGCTCTTCCTGGATGGAATGAATAGTAAAGAGGCCAGAAGCTGGTATGCATGCAAGAAAGCCAGTGACTTTCTTGCATGCATACCACCCCCTCTGGCTTCTTTAGATATCAGATTTACCCAAAGAACCTTGTCTGCCTATGTCCTTAGACCAACACAGCTACAACCTGTACCCCAGGACCAGGTAGAGTAACTTGATCTGCTGAAAATAATGCATGCAAGGTAGTCTGATATGTTAGTACTTCAAGCTTTCAAAAAGTAATCATGTTGCTTTATGTAGCAATAAGAACCAGGACTGCATAATAGGTGTTTGCCTGTGGGTAGCATGCATATTCTTTCAGATTTTCTCCCACTCAAAAGCATTTTTAACCCCTTTGAAGTCTGTGAAAGGAAAAACAGATACAGGGATGGCCTGCTTTTGTAAAGCTGAAATCATATAATGTAATGAAAATTTACTCTTTAAATGGGTTATTGAAAATGATCTCAAGAAAATTTGATTTTTGCTCTGAAATATTCTGGGGAAAAAATACTGATTTTCTTTGATCGGCTATAATGAATGTTGAAATGTTTGGACAATTCAAATTATTTTTTTAAAAAGAAACAAAATGTTTCGAAATATACCTGAAACATTTTAATGATTT